TCCCGGGGGGGTGGTGGGGGGTGGATGGTCCCTCCTGCCATCCCAGGGCAATGGGGAGCCCGGGGCTGCTGGTCTGTGCCTGTGCCCGCATGCACTCTGGGGTCTCTCTGCAAATTTCGTTGCCTTGGAGTGATTTGTGGAAGTGGGGCAATTCGGCAGCCGTGCTGAGTGAAGAGATGCGGGAGCATCCTCCCCAAGGACTGGATGTGTGCTGGAGAGGCGCCAGCAGGGATGGCACCCTAGCGCTCTGTGCTGATGGTGCAGGAGAGGAGTTTGGGGTGGTGAATGGAGCTGTGGCTGTGCCAGTGCCAGGATGGTGCCCAGCCCTGGCCAGGACTGGCACGCATGGGACCTCATAGATCCCCTTGGCTGTGTGTGCTTGGAAAGGGGTCAGGGCTAATTTATCTGCTGGGCCTTGGTCCTGCTTGCTCTCTGAGGAGGAGCAGCTTGGCTTGGGGGAGATAAGAGCCAGTAGATCATTTTTAACAAGGTGCTCCTGGAAAGGGAGGGCTGGGGAAGCCAGTGGGCTTGGAGCCTGGCAGGGGGTGATGAAGGGAGGGAATGGGCACAGCTCAGCCCTGGCAGGGTGGTATGGCTGCTTCACGTGGGGTGGGAGAGGCAGTGCTGGGTGATGAGGAGGAGTGTTTGGCCTCTTAAAGGGTAGAAGGAAATGGTTTCAGGGTGCTGGTTTCCTTAGGGGTGTCTAGGTAGCTGGGACAAGGGGCTGTGGCATGAGGGACAGTCCTGCCAGGGGGCAAAAGTGGCACCAAGGAGGACATGGTGCTGGTGGCAGGAGGCTTGAGGAAGCTTGTCCACCCCACTGCTGACCAGCCCATCCCAAAGCTTTACCATGAGCACTGCCTGGTCCCCAGCACTGCTGCAGTGCGATGCCAGAGGAGAGGGAACACCCCAATCCCAGAGGGGACAATAGAGGGGCTTGGGGATGTTGGCATTGTCAGGCCCCTTTCTAAGTGAGTTGGGGACGTTTGCTCCCCCCTCCCCAGCAATGTCGCAGCCTTGATGTGCTCAGCTTGGGGAAAGGGAGATAAATGCTGAGATGGCAGGAGGCTGGGAGGGGGATGCGCTCACACACAGCGCTTAATGGGGAAGGATGGGATTACAGGGGTCACGCTAGGTGAGCAGCTTCCTTCATGGGATCAAAGCAGGTGCCCCCGGCTGCAAATACCTTGCGCAAACAAACAGGGCTGTCTAAGAGCAGGTGAGCTCGGGCATGGCTGGGCTGGGGGGTGCTCGGGGGTGGCAGGGGGCAGGAGGCTCTCTGCGCACGGGGGGTGAAGCATGGGGCTCCTAGTGTGAGGGCTGCTTTGTTTTGCATAGAGTCGGGGGGGAAACAACGGTG